GGTTTAGAAACTGCTCCAGATTAAAGGAGATTAAACAGATCTGATAATTAAATGTAATTCACGATTTGGTCTTGATCCTGTACTGGAGGAAGAAATACTAAAAGGACATTACTAGGTCAATTGATCCAATTAGAATTTGGAAGGTAGAAATTAAAGTATTATATCAATATTCAATTTTCTGAAGTGGATAACCATACTGTGATTTTATGAGACAAAAAAAATAAAAACAATTCAGTAGCATTTATTGTCATCTTGTAATAATATCTGAGGATATTTTTAATCTTAGGAAATAAGGGTCATTATAGATATAATTTAGTCTCAAATGTTTCAGGAAATATATATTTATACACACATACACACAAAGAGAGAGAACTAATGGAACAAAACATATCAGATAGTAGTCTTGAATGCAGGAATGGTTACATGTGAACTAGAGGAACATGGGAGAAGAACGAGGTATGGAGTGAGTAAAGAATTAATAAAGAGAAAAGTAAATTTGTTCATTTTTAAGTATAGGTAACTAGAAGAATAGTGATGAAATGAGAAAAAAAAAGGTTAGATATTGAAAAGATTTAAGGACCATGACTGTAGATATCTTTTTCTGCTACAAATCAATCTTCAGTTAAAAGACAATCCAGACCGTGTTGGCTGCCAAGTCTACCAATAAATAGAAATAGCCTTGAGGATCCATAAAGAAGACTGTGATTCTCTGAGTTATGCAAACCAATGTAGAAAGGACAAGAGTGGATATGCTATTATTCTACTTTTATAGATGAAGACAGAAACCCAGAGTGTCTGTCTTCCTCATAGACAAAGCACTGTACAAAGCAGAAGTGTACAGTGAAACTGAAATTTGACCCTAACTCTAATTTCAAAGCCTAAAACATTACCACTCAATTTACCATAATTATTTTCCTATAGGTGGACTCATCAACATGCAATGCTGTGATATACATGTCTCTTTTGCATAAATTTGCTTTCACTGAAATGAAGGCTTTTTAAATCTAAGCACTATATATACCAAAGACTCTACATAAAGTATCTTGTGAGGAACTCTTTAACTATATTACAACAGTTTCTTTGGGAAACTATAGGAAACTTGCCTTTCACTTTATCTTGAATTCACCAGTGAGCCATGCATAGAATCTTGCTCAGTAAGTGCTAATGAAAATGATGCAGCTTAAAAGTCTCATTTAAAATGTAAAAACCCATACTCCTCTCTCATCACATATTTACTCCCATTTCCTACCGGGAGTCCTGGTGGTCCTTGATCTCCTTTCAAACCAGGCAAGCCAGGTTGCCCAGGTGGGCCTGGGTTTCCCTTCTCTCCTTTAGTACCTCCATTTCCAGGGAGACCTCGGGGACCTTCTGGACCTGGTAGACCTTGATAATGCACAACAAATGACCATATTTCAGTATAGCATAAGAGTAGCATAAAAGTCAGGCTTGTAAAATATCAGTCACCTTCCTATTATGTTGCAGGACAAAATCCAGACTACACTAAATTATATAGACCTATGCTGACTCCCTTTCTAATATAAATCATACTAGGTTCGTTCTGTTATTAACACTGGTTTGTACACCCTTTTAGTTTACCTTTTATTATATTTTAAACTCAACAAACTTATATCTAAAGAAAGGACTAAGGACATAATATTTGCTTCTGTTAATTCCTAACACAGTGTTTGACTAAAAGTGAAATGAAACAGAAGCTGTAGGGTACTTTCTCAAATTGGTGCAAGCATCAGAACTACCTGGAGGGCTTATTAAAACAGATTCCTGGGCCCACCTTCAAAGCTTTGGGTTCAGTCTCAATTGATTTTTCACAGTGATTTTTCACAGTCGGTTACAGATCAAAACCTTGTTCTAGTCTTTCTCATCCTTGACTAGTGTTAAGAAAAACATTGAGGGGAAAAAAAGAAAATCGACGGAAGAGGGGCCCAATAATTTGCATTCTAACAAGTGCCTTGTAGAAGCTGAAGCTGCCAGTTCCAGAACCACACTCTAAGAATCACTGCTGCAGGGCAATCAGGGATTCAAGCCATTTATCTCATTGTGATTAAAATCAAATTGCTTTATTTGTAAGTAGTTATATTAATTCAGATTTTATTACTACGCAATTAAGATACTTATGTAAACTAAATGTTTAACTTAATTTTAGTGAAATGCTAGATACAAGATACTTTTTTAAATGTTAGGAATATATTGCTTTAATATAGTACTTTAAAGATTCATTTTAAAAATATCTTCATATTGTTTACATTTTAAATTTTTTTGAAGAAAAAATTTTGTATGCATCTTGCAAATAAATAATTTAAAATGGAAGTTTGCTGAGCTTTTTTCCTTACGCTATGTTTTTAACCTGTTTTTCTGAATAAAGATATCAGATTCATCAAGCAGTCAGGGTGGTCTTATTTTTGGCCAAGTCTTTTGTCATTAGGTGGAAAATAGGTGCTACATACTTGCAGAGTGTTTAGTGGCTGAGACTGAGACTAAACAATCAGCCTTAAGAAAATAATTGCAAAGTCCTAAATAACAGCCAATATTTAGCACTTTTATCCTCTCTCCTCTGGTAATCTGTCTTTTAAATTGATTTCAACAAAAAAATGAAAATATATAGGGATTATTTTTTAAGGATCTTTCAGAGGTGTATGCATTTAGAATATTGAGGTCATGTTTACACAGGGGCAAAGGGTTATCTTTTCCATCTGAGATAAAATTTGGACTTCAGTTCCCTTCCCAATACTATTTAAGACTCAGAATCAATGGCTAAATACCAACAAGGCAGAATGACATAGTGATTAAGAACACTGGACTCTGGAGCTAGAATGCTAGGTTAGAATATCAGCTCCATTAGTCATTTGCTGTTTTACCTTAGCAAGATTATCAATTTCTTCTTCTATAAAATGGAAATAAGGATATCACATACTTCAACAGGTTAATAAAATAACGTATATAAATTACTTAGCACAGTGCCTGGCACATGGTAAAAACTATGGAAGGGTTGAGTTGCTTTATTATTATTATAGTTATTGTTATTATTATTATTATCACTTTCATTATTAGTAAAATTGAAAGTAAAACATATCTTAAAATATGAGCCCATTTTTAACTGTTCAGGTATTTCTATGTAATTTCATAATATCACATGCACATGAGAAAGGGGAAGCAGATTCAAAATAGTATAACAGTCGTTTTACCTTTAAGTAATTTAATTCATATAGTCACCCTAGCCTGGCCGCCAAAACACATAAATTCCCTTCCCAATCATAAAGTGTTGTGGTACATTGTACATTTAAAAACAACAACAAAAAACTGTAGTGTTCAATTCCCACTAGCCAGGTTTGTTTTTGTTTGTTTGTTTAGTAAACTTGTTAGTTTCATCTGTAACGTATAATTTGGACTAGAAATAAGGTAGTAAATCACCTTATTAAGAAAAAAATAAACTATTTGTGAATCATCCTAATAACAACGACAAGGTAAGATTTAAGACCGGAAAAAAGAAATGTTTTATGACCCTCTATTCCAATTTGAAAAGTTATCAGAAAACTGTATTATTTTTAAAAATTCAGGGCACTCCTCTTTTTGCAATTAAAAGGAAATATTGGGAAATTTACATGTCAATTCAGACCTGATGTTTAGAGTTCCTCAAGTTTAATGAGTTATTAATAACAATAAGAACATAGATTTTATTTTTAACAGTATTCAATAGTTTCTCTCTTTCATTACTGAATATAACCATGAACTCACAGATCAGGGTAATCTGAGGTAACCAAATTTCAAGAAAATAAAGTCAATATGCAGAGATTATAAATGGGCCAGATGCTTGCTTAATATCTCAATTCCATTTTGAAGGTAAAAATAAGCATAGTTCCATTTAAAATTCAACATGTCTTTATGTATTTATTACCTATTATAAACAATTGCAACCACAAAGTCCTAATGTCATTTAAAACTCAATTATAAAGTTACATTACCTTCATCAAAATGTTAAAACCCCAGCAGGTAGTATTTGGGGATAACAGTATTCTTCAATGACTTCTGAATTATAGCAAAAAAATGCATTTCTCTTATACATACAAAGTATTAAAAAAATTGACTAGTGAAGGGTCTAACCTTGAAAACCTGGGAAGATCAGAGTTCACCAAAGCCCAAAGATCGATGTTAGCAGTATCAGACATCACACAGTACAAAATAAGATTATGAGTTAGAATTGGTTCACATTATAACACAAGTTAAACAATAATCTTCTTTGCCAGCATTTCTTATACCTACAGCATAATCAGTATGCAAACAGAACAATATAGAAGTATGGAGAGCCAAACCTTTTCAAATAGAGCTTTTTCTAGAGAATAAGCTACTGGTCTTAATATTAAGTTAAAAAATTAAAAACTCTACTGAGGATAGCATGTTAACACTACTACTGTGGCTTTCCATAGGTTAGCTTCTCAAAACATTAAAGTTGGCAAGATAGGACCATTTCATGGACAGCCTTCAGTTCCTTTAGCAAAGGAGTAAATTTGAATAAATGTTTGTTTATCTTGGTTTCTGATATCCTTTAGTAGAAACACCAGGTGCAAAATTCTTGCTATGTTCAGAATGCCCTAAGAAGATGTAGTTAACTTTACAGGCCTCATTGTCAAAAAATACAAATATCACAGGTGACTGAATAGAAAAATCAAAACACGGGTATCCAGTGGCTATTACCAACTGCACTTCTGTTTGTATTTGAAAACCACTCCATACAACTACATTATATTTTTTTCATAATTCATCAGGAGGCTTTCTTCTGTGCATTATAATTTGCAATAAGTTACTTAAAGAGAAAAAGCCAATATATATTTTTACACTATTAAACCTGAAAATAAAGATTCAAATTTTCCAAAGATGCGAAGACTATCAGTGAAAGGGTGCTTCAAAATACTTTGGCATGCAATATCCCCACCCCAAACCACAGAAAATATCACATTTACTTTATTATTATTCAATGCACATATTAAGCCAGGCTATTCACTATTAAAAGAAGGATCATTAAATAAAAAGATAAAAAGCCTACAAATAGAATGCCCTTTGGTTAGTGTTAATTGATTATAAACACAATTTTCTTCTCTTACAAGTCTTGCTATGATTTATAAACACTGAATGTTAAAGAGAATAAATTGTGCTACAGAACTGAATCCTGGGAGTTAGAAGACCTAGGATCTATTCTTGACTCTGCTACTTAGTAACTACATGACTTTGGACAATTCAATCTTTGTGAGCTTGTTTTCTTTCCCACATCATGGGAATAGTGTTATCTGCCCTAATCTCCCCCACAGAATTATTTTAAAAATCAAATTTAATGTTTACAGTATCGACCTAATATCTGCCATGTGCAAGGTGCTACAGGGAATACAAAAGATGAGCAAGATCCAAACTCTGCCCTCAAGGAGCTTATAATAAAAGAACATTATATAATGTAAATGGTGGTATTCCATGTAAATAGAGAACATTATAACAACTGCCTAATAATAAGATTTTTAAAGCATTTAATACTTTGAAATTTAGAAAGCTAAATATTGGTTTCAGTTTGTTTACATGGCTTCTAAATCACATACAGCAAATTAACTCAAGACAATACTTAGAGCAGAGTCTGAACACATAATTAGTTAAATAAATTAGAATTCCTACCTAAGATAATTCAGAGGCTGAGTAAAGAAATTTTATATGTGTGTTTGACATAGAAGAACCAATAACAATAACTCTTGGAAGAATATTTAATTGAATTATGACATTTCAGTTTGAGTCAGTAGCAAGGAAAACTTTGGATCATATCATAGCAAAACTTTAAGACTTTCTTTTCTAAATTTAATTTTAATGAGTTATATGCCAAGTCAATTTTGTGTATAAGCCTCTCAATCCATTATTTTTCAAACCACACAAGAAAAAACAAAACAAAAGCCTAAAGTCTTGTACATAAGTGACAATTATTAAAGATACACTGATAAATTGACTGATACATTTTAAATTCGGTTTCCACTCAAAGCTGTAATCCTCGTCTGTTGCAGATAAAACAACACCACACAGACCAAGTTCCAACAACTATGTGGTTTAGAGCACACATTTGGTAAACAAGAAGTTGTTCAACTGTTTTGTTGTGGTTGTTGTTGCTGAGTCGGAGTCTCTGTCACCCAGGCTGGAATAGTGGCACGCTCATGGCCACCACAGCCTTGATCTGCTGAGGTCAAATGATCCTTCAACCTCAGCCTTCCAAGTAGCTGGAACCACAAGCATGAGCCACCACGCCCAGCTAATTTTTATTTTTTGATTTATTGTAATGACAAGCTCTCGCCATGTTGCTCAGGCTGGTCTCAAACCCGAGCTCAGCAATCCTCTTGCCTTTGCCTCCCTAAGTGCTGGGATTATAGGCGTGAGCCACTGTGTTAAGCCTAAATTGGTTTTAAAGTAATGTGACTAATTGTCTTTTTCTTCTTCGAATACATTTATAGTGCCTCAGAAGAAATGAATCTCCTAGCTAACACTTTAGTCTAGCAGTAACCAAGGTAGCAGAATTCTATGAAGGTCAGACAAGGGAAATTACTTCAAAGTACCCCCTAGTCTTCTCTTTATCTTGGTGATAGTTAAACAGCATGTACTATCTTACTTTTTTTGATAACATCCATTTAGGAAGAACACAAGACACAGTTACTAGGGATTGATGAAGCTTTTGAGGTAGTAGAAAACAAGAAAGTGAATGCAGGGCCCAGTCCGCTATGACTAAGAATCTTCTAAAACAGCAGAAGCAGTTTTGCTCCATCACTTATATTTATAACTAGAAAAAAAGGCCAGATCATAGGCATCAAGCCTTTGTGGAAGGATGATATGGTGTTACTGGTAGAATAGAAATTTAACTGAATACTGGGAGCCTTAAGTCAGAGCCTCAGCTATGCCAGTATCAGTATCATCTGCAGCAACCTTCTTAACTTCTTTGGGTCTCAGTTTTCTCATGTGACAAAGACCCTCTGGTTGACCAACTTTAAACAGGCTCTGGAGCTCTCTTCTCTACTAGGCCTGATCCTTGGGCCCTGTTTTTGGCCTGACAAACACAGTTACAGCAAGAGCCCTTCCGAATCAGTTTGGGGCGATTCCCTCCAGCTTTTATATCTGATCTAGTTTCTCATCCCTCATCGTTGATGTCTAAGTCCTTGCTCAATTTTTAGCAAAAATCCTGTTAGGTCAGTTTAGCAAGAAGCCCCCTATGCTTAATGTTTCTTCTTAGTAATTTTCCATCACGAACCCTCTTACTCTGTTCCTTGGCTATAAATGGCCACTTGTCTTTGTTGTATTTGAAGTTGAGCTCAGTCTCTCTTTCCTATTGCAGTACTTTCTCTTCTGTTTTAATAATCCTGAATAAAATCCATCTTGCCATCTTTAACAAGTGTCCAGTGAATTTCTCTTTGACATGGGTAGAACTTAGGTCCTATGTAGATCTGACATTCTCTGGTTCTATTAAATAATGGATTTGTGGGGAAGTAAGAGACTAGGGAATCAATTCAGATACAAATATATAGCTTCCTAAACCAATCTTGAACAACTATACATTTTAAATTTATAAGAAAAAAAATGTTCTGCTACTCTGAATAACCAGACCTCATGAGGCATACATTTTTTTCCCTTTTAACTCCCTCTTATCAATTTGAAAAGGACTATTTTGAATTATAATAAATACATTCAAATATGTGTGGTTCTTTTCTGCTGATTGGGAGAACATCTTTCACTATGAATCAGCAATTTTCCATTGGGTAGCTCTTGGTAATTGTTCTTTGGTGTGTACTGTTTATATGTATATGATGAAAATATGATTAAGAGCCTTCTAATCTGTACTGGTTGCATATAATTTTTTAACTCTGTGTTTATTAGTCCTTTTTTTCACAATAGTAGAATTTAGAACTTTGTGACAACCCATATTGTGAAGATGGGATGGTTTGAAAACCTGAAAAAGGTATGGCAAGTCAAGAATTATATATTTGCAGGATCTGAAAACACATGTTTAAAAAAAGAATATCTTTTTAAAAGATAGTTCAATTTCATTTGCATGAACAGATATTATGTAAACATAAGAAATATACTCTGCTTCAAAGGAAAGGTAAAATATTATACAATGCTCTTTTGAGTACTATGAATTTTCAATTAAAATGACACAAATATAAAAATTTTGAAATATTAAAATTAGTTTTCCTAATTAGGAAATTTTTGGTCATTCCAACAGAGAGAAACACTAGGTTCTACAAGTTCTTAACAACTTATAGAGATAGGCCACCATGTAATAATTGAATTGGCATATATGCTCTTAAAATATATCTTAGGTACTTGAAAATCTTAGGTACAGGTGTATACAAACACACACACACACACGCACACATATACATACACACATATATGTATATATACACACACACATAAAATATATGTATATAAATATATAAGAAAAATTTCAAACTTCATGCAGTTATTACTTTGGAGTTAAGGAGCTAACCTGTAGGACCTGGATAGGGATCAAAGTTCACCAAGGCCCAATGTCATCATTAACAAAAAGGAAAAATATCAAAATTGTTAGACATATCAAGAAACTAAAAAATCATTACATGAAATACTTTCGAGTTAAAGTTTAATTCAATAAAAGAACACTCTGAAAGTTCATGTTCATGCATCTGTATATAAACCAAATTATCACCACTTAGCATCAACTCTGAATTGAAAATAGCATATGTGGCATATTTTGAAATGTCCAAAATTACTTTTATAATAATCATTACTGAGACTTCAGATGAAGAACAACCAGTTAGACAAGTCATTTGGTTTAAAATTCCATTTTAATGTATAGTTCATGAAACAAATTGAGAAGTCACAAACACTAATCAGGTGTGTGTTTTTCTAACTACTTTTGTTAATATTCTTTAAAAAGGATAATTTTTAAAGTACCTTTGTGACTAATGGCTTTATGCTGCCATATTTCAAAGTAATGTTCAACAGTGAGAACCATTACTGGTAAGAATGAATAACCACAGTGCTGATTAGAATATAAAAAGGATAACAGTTTGGTTTATTTGAATGATTGCATGCAAAACGAAGCAAGATACTTGCTTCATTTCTTTACATTACATGCAAGAGAGTTAATGTGGCTGAGGAGATTTTCACTGGTTTTCTACAGTAGTAAACAAAGGCAAAACCTTAAATAGTATTTTCTATGAAGAGTTAAGTCAGATCAGATAAAATCACGTTTTGAAAATAATCCTTTGAACACAGTATGCGATCCCATTTAATCCATGTTTTAGGATATATTAAAATTAACTCCAATCACTTTTACTCCAATCACTTCTTAAATTCTAATCACTTTTACTACAATTTTACTGTAACTTAAAGGAAATTTCTCATTTTTAAATGCATTATTTAAATGTCAGAGACTTTCAAAGGTTAAAAGGGCAATTACTTTGTTTTTTAACCTTAGATTTCTCTTATTTAAAAAAAATCAATAAAAAACAAGTTTTCAATTACCAAAAATATAAAAATTGAATATCAAATCTCAAAAAACTGTTAATAATCTATCACCAGTGACTAGGCACAGCAACATTAATCCAGGATGAAAACAAGCATTTCCAAAATTAGTAAAATGAAATGACACAGTGTAGACACAAAGTGCAAAGGTGAACATTGGATGCAAAATGGACACTACTAGAGCTGTGAACACAAGACAAGTGAGGTATAGACATGAAGTTGGTATGAAGAGATCACTAGTCAATTTGATCATGCTGTGATGTTGAAGACAAATTTGATTGCCTAGTTCCTATGGAAAATAAAAAAAATTTTATTGCGCCTGGTGACTTTTGCTGATCATATGACAGAACCATAGCAATACTTTTGGTATAGACCACAAGCATCTATTGGGTGATCACTAAAATGATTTCTGTGATGACATGCTGAGAAGCTCACATTTAAAAATGCAGATGGCATTTTGCTGCCAGGTTATCAGTATAGTTTTATGTTTAATAACAAGATTAATAAAACGTCAATTTCCTTCTTTTCTTCCGGGTTGTTTTGTTTTACTTCAACTTCAAGCAAATGATAAAAGGTATTTCTAAAAAGAATTATTAGATGCCATGAAAATGGATGGAGTTAGGTATAAACCAAGATACTTACTTGTAAGAAGTTCTTACATTACAAATTCTAAAATCTTTTTTTTTCCTTTTTTTTTTTTTTTTGAGTCAGAGTCTCACTCTGTCACCCAGGCTGGAGTGCAGTGGCACCCTCACTACCACTGCAGCCTCGACCTGCTGGGCTCAGGTGATCCTTCCACTTCAGCCTTCCAAGTAGCTGGAACCACAGGTGTGTGCCACTGTGCCCGGCTAATTTTTTTAAAAAAATTTATTGTAGAGATGAGGTCTCGCCATGTTGCCCAGGCTGGTTTCGAACCTGTGGGCTCAGGTTATCCTCTCGCCTCAGAGTCCCAAAGTACTGGGAATTTTTAAAGTCTTAAAGACTGAATGACCTGTCAGCAAAATGAAATAAATCAACTAATAAATAGACCATTCCCCTACCACTCATGGACATACCTGGCCTCCCAGGAGGACCTTGGGGCCCAGGGCTGCCTTTTGGCCCTTCCAGAGCTGGACCTGGAGAACCAGGAGGGCCTGGGGGACCCTGCACACCAGGGAAACCGTGAGAGCCTGATTCACCCTTTGGGCCTGGAAGGCCAGGGTTTCCTGGCATGCCAGGTAATCCTCCATCACCCTTTTGACCTATGAAAATAAAGTGACATTAAAGAGCACATTAAATAATACTGAGTTACAGGCTTGTCTATAAAGCTAAAGCTATTCACATCTATGAGAGCAATTAATGGAATTCACAAGGGTTATATCTATCTCCCACCAAATCTCAAACTCACCCAGAAAACAATTCTTCCTATTAAATAGATATGCATCTGTTATCAGAAGTGTTTATTGGAATACACATAGTAGTGGGAAACTGCCAGGGAGTGGGAGGGATGCGGGATCAGCAGTAGTGGGAATCTGCCGGGGGAGGGGTGGCATGCCTCATCAACAAGGTTACCTGCATAATGAACATTTGTATACCAAACTCTGAATTGTACCCCACATCTTTAAAATAAAAAAATTAAAAGATATAAAAAAATTGTTTTAAAAAGAAATGTAAAAACAATAATAGCTTTCATCCTAAAAGGTACCCTTTGTATTGAGACATAGAACAATGATCCCATGACCAGCAGTTGTCAAAAAAATAGATAGAAAAAATAAAAATAGTATAAAGCATTTTCAAGAACAGTTTCAATATGGCCAGAGAAAATTTTAAAACAAATATTTTGAGTCTAATTTTGAGACTAATAAAATATATGTATTTTCAATGGTTGCTATGTATCCTTGAAGAACATTCTACCTAATACTTATAATCACAGTCTAGACAAACTATTTTCAACACTTTTTCTACAACACTGTTTAAGAGAAATATAATAGTAGCACATCAAAGTAATAATTTTCATGTTGGGATCATGAGGAAGATAGCAGAATATCTATGTGTGGTTTGAGAAAAGCCTCCATAGAATAGTCAGTAGTAATTTCAGAACATAAACATACATATCTGTAAGCAGGTTCAGTCTCTCTATTAGCTATTTAGTACTTTCAGTGAGAGTAAACATAAGAGAGGGAAAGCAGATGTACGTGTGCAAATAATCATCTAAATATGCAAAACATATATTAAGATGAAGCTTTCAAGAAACATTTTTATTACTGGTATGTATTTCTATAGAGTTTCCTTATCTTGATATTGTTTCCATGGGGAGAAAAGAATATCTTTTTCCCCTAGCTTAACGTGTTTTTTAAAATGCAGTGAAATCTACCTCTTCTTACAATTTTGCCTTCTCTCTTTATCATTTCCTCAGCATTTATTTCTGAAGTCAATGAAGAGATATATGCATGTGAATTTCCTTAAGGGATGCATTTTTTTTTTTTTTTTTAGTTGGAGTCTCACTCTGTCACTCAGACTGGAGTGCAGTGGCCGCTCCCAGCCACAGCAGCCTCGACCTGCTGGGCTCTGACGATCCTTCCGCCTCAGCCTTCCAAGTAGCTGGAACTACAGGCATGCGCTATCACGCCCGGCTAATTTTTTTGATCTATTGTAGAGATGAGGTCTCGCCAAGTTGCCCAGGTGAGTCTCGAACCCGCGGGCTCAGGCAATCCACTCATCTCAGCCTCCCAAAGCGTGGGATTACAGGTTGAGCCACCGAGCCCGGCTAGGGATGCATTTTTATAGCATAACTTCTTATACTAAGTTGCTAAATAATAAATGCTTTAAAGTGTAAGTCTAGTTTTGCATTATCTGGGTTTTTATGTGCATTTTATAACAGCAAATGGTAAAGATGGAAAAACAAATGCCTTAGAGAATATTGTCATTTCATGGATTGATTAAGCATATTTTATTAAGGTTTACCAGAAAGTCCTGGGAGTCCAGGAGGTCCTGGGATTCCAAAGCCTGGTTGACCTGTCAGAGTATTAAAAAAAAATTCAAGTGGATAATAATAGGTGAAACAAGGACAAATTATTTTCAGATCATGAGATTTTTACTAAGAACACCAATGCATATTATATGAAATATGCAGATTTATTTCTAATACAGAACTACAATGCTAACATGAGAAAGCTAAATAAACATATATTCTATTTATGATGGAGTATTAAATAACTTTATATACTTGTATGAAAATACATACATGAAATATAGATTACATAGTAGAACATGCAGAAATTTGAAAATGCTGGGTAACTTCTTGATGTAAACAACTGGACAAGAAAGGATATGAATTTTTTTGTAGGAGAAAGACAACCTGATCAACAAACATGAGCTAATATTCTCAGGATCAATAGGAAGAAGGTAATTAGGGAAAGAAAAGTATGTGGCTGCTTAGAAGATAAGAAAAAAATATATAATTTCACTGTGAGTAAGAAAAAGGCCAAGTTAAAGTAGATAAGAAGGAAATTAGAAAATTTGGAAAAAAATGAAAAAAAATTTCAGCACCTGGTTCACCCTTCTGTCCAGCTGGGCCAGGAATACCATCTTGACCTGGTTTACCTTTTTCACCAGGAGACCCTGGTGGCCCAGGACGACCTCCACCACCTGAAGAATAAAGCACAGCAGGTTACACGCAGCTTTTCCACTCCCTTTTCCTTCCATATGTCCCATTATTTCTACATTGGCTTAGAACTGTTATATCCAAAAGACACAAAGTGTTTCTGAGACACTTCCTTGAATCACGAAATGTCATAAAAATGAAGGAAGATAATAAAAATAAGAAAAAGTCACCCACATCTAAAATTTTTCAGTTCTTTATTTTAATATGGCTTTAGAATATCCAAGAGATTGAGGTTCAAGGGCTGGTGGGGTACATTACAGGCTTCATATGGGGCCAAGAAAGCGATGAACTTTAGAAATCAATAAACAAAACAAAAATTGCTACTGCTTGTCATTATAAAAAAATCAGAGCTTCTGTTACAGGACACTTGAATTAACTTTCCCTGGAAAAGTTGAACCTAGAAAATAAGATCTCATAATGACAATTTAAAGTACTTTTTATTAAGAGTTGTTCACTTTGTACCTAACAGGCAGTGTTAATTGAATGATCACCATGTTTCCTTCGCTTGAAACATTCACAACTGAATATGTTTTGACTTTCCCAAAGTGAATATAATTTAACTTTCCCAAAACAAATATGATAAGCCTTAGTTTTACAAAAGAGCAAACGCTTACTTTTAATGCTTACCTATAGGACCAGGTTCTCCTGGAAGGCCAGGGTTCCCAGGAGGGCCATTAATACCTTTTGGTCCAGGAGGTCCTGGGGGTCCTAGAGTAAAAAGCTCAATTTAAAAATAAAAGAAAAACTATATTGCTTTAAGAACTACAATTCAAACTTACAATTTACAGGGTTAGCATAGATACAGCAAAGAACAAAAAGGAACCCAAAAGATGCTGGTGTTTGTTAGCCATTTAAAAAAATACTTTTAAGCCAGGCTCGGTGGCTCAGCCTGTAATCCCATGCCTTTGGGAGGCTGAGGTGAGTGGATTGCCTGAGCCTGCAGGTTCGAGACCCGTCTGGGCAGCGAGACCTCATCTCTATAATAAATCAAAAAATCAGCCGGGTGTGGTAGCGCATGCCTGTAATTCCGGCTACTTGGAAGGCTGAGGCGGAAGGATCGCCGGAGCCCAGCAGGTCGAGGCTGCAGTGGCTGGGAGCGGCCACTGCACTCCAGTCTGGGCGACAGAGTGAGACTCCAACTCAAAAAAAAACAACAACAAAAAAAAACTTTTATATTTTAAATGTATTTATTCAGAAGCCAGCATTATTATATATTCAAAAACATAAAAATAACTACCACCACATTACATTGGTAGATTTTGTAGGATTCCATTGTATGAGTATACCACACTTTTTAAATTCAATTCATGTTTTTGGACATTTGGGTTGTTGCCAGGTTTTAGCTATTATGAATATTCATCTTCCTATTTATGAAAACCTGTTCTATTCCCAGTTTTTAGCTATTATAAATAAAGCATCTATGGATATTTCTCACAGGTCTTTTTGGGGACATATGTCTTAATTTACCTTGGGTAGATACCAAGGAGTGGAATTGCTAAGTCAAAAAGTAAGTGTACCTTGTGTTTTATAAAAACTGCCTAATCATTTTACACTCACAACAATATGTGGGAATTCCAGTTTCAAATTTTTGCACAGCCTACATAATATCAGTTGCTTTAATAATAGCCATTCTGGTAGATATGTAGAGCTACCTCATTGTGATTTCAATTTGTATTTCTTTAATGGATAGTGACATTGATGACCTTTTCATGTGCTTATTGCCATTCATATATATTCTTTTGTGAAATATGTCCATTTTTCAAAATTGAGTGTTTGTCCTGCTATTATTGAGATGTAGAAGGTCTTTAAATATCCCAAATATTAGTCATCTGTCAGATGTATATTCTGCAAATATTTTCTCCTAGCCTGTGGCTTTCCTATTCATATTCCTAGTGGTGTCTTTTGATGAACAAAAGTTTTACATTTTAAATTTAATATATGGGTGAATTCCTTTTCTTTTACAATTACTGCTTTCTGTATTCTAAGAAAACTTGGCCTACTCCAAGTCATGAAAATATGGTTTTAGCTTTTATATTTGGATTAAGATAGACTTCAAAATATTTTTTCTACATTATGTAATATATGAGTTGAATTTCATTTTTATCCCCATATGAACATCTGGATGTTACAGGACCATTTGCTGAAGACTGCTTTCTCTGTTGAATTTCTTTGGTATCTTTACCAGAAGTCAAGTTACTGCATAATATGAGTCTCTTTCTATGCTCCATATTCTTTTCCATGGATCTATGTATCAATTTTTATGCAAGTAACACACTGCCTTAATAACTGTATCTTAAAATCAAGTAATGAAAATCTTCCATTTACCTTTTCAATATTGTTTTGGGTAATCTATATCCCTTCCATATATGAAGGGGAACCAAAAAAAATCCAGAGTTATTTTTTGGAGGGTGGGCCCCTTCTAGTACAGTCTTCCCTGGCTATGTAAGTGTTCTAGGAACCCATTAGCATCAGCGTACCAGTTAGTGTTGTTGTGAGAAGCTGCATTCAGCTTCAGTGACTTTTTTTTTTTTTTAAGATTCTTTCAGCACGTTTGCCCATTTCATGATGGGTGATTTATGAGCGCACCTGCCCACATCACGCTGAGTGTTCAGCAGTTTTCAACCAAAACCAACATGACCCTCTTGTTCCACCCTTGCTATTCACCTGATCTCACCCCAAGTGATGTTTTCTTGTTTCCCTGGATGAAAAAAGTTCTCAAATGGAAACATTTTGCCGATGTGGAAGAAGTGAAACAAAAAACAGCAGAAGGACTAAAAGGCATCAAAATGGACAACTTCAAAAACTGTTCTGAGCAGTGGAAAAAGCATCTTGACAGATGTATTGCAACAAACAAGGAGTACTTTGAAGGTGACTAAAGGTTAAACGTGTAAGAATAAATACACATTTTTTGATAAATAAATTCTGTTTTTTGGGCGGGTCCTCCCTTATACATTTTAGAATCTGCTTGCCAATTGTTAAAAAACAAAACAAAACAAAAAGTTGGGTTATTAACTGGAATCACTTCTAATCTATGGATCACTTTGGGGACAACTAGCATTTTTAACAATTTTGATCTTCCAGCCCATAAATATGATCTATATCTTCATTTATGTTGGTATTTAAACTTTTCTTATAGCAGGTTTTATAGTTTTCAGTAAATACACATGGGGAATTATGTTATTAAATTTACCCCCTAATGATGTTTGAGGTCAGTCAAGATAGAATAAGCCCACTACAGACTCTTTGTTGTCACACTAATTATAATAAAAACTGGACAGAATACAAAAAGCAACTATTCAAGAACTCTAAAGTAAGCACTAACAGGTATATTCGGAAGGGAAGTCAAAACTTGAAGAATGACCAGAAGAGCAATGCATTAGTTTTCTACTGCTACGTAACAAATTACCCCAACTTAATGACTTAAGACAATACCCATTTATTATCTCGCAGTTTCTGTAGGCAACATTCTGGGCATAGATGAGATGGGCTCTCTGCTTAGCATCTCACAAAGCCAAAATCAAGCTGTTGGTTTGGCTAGGCTCTTATCTGGAAGCTATGGGAAAAGATGTACCTCCAAGCTCACTCAGGTTGCCAGCTAAATTTAGTTCCTTGGGGAAACAAGACTGAGGTCCCTGTTTCCTTGTTAACTGGCTGCCAGAAACCATTCTCAGGTCCTGGAGGTCACTTGCATTTCTATTTCAAGGACCTTCTCCATCTCAGCCATGGAGATCCTCTCTTATGTGAAATCCCTCACATGCTCTGAATCTCTCTGACTTCCTCTTCAGCCACCAGTTGGAGAAAACACTCGCTTTCAAAGAACTCTCGGGACTAGAATAAGCCCACTGAGGCCAGGCACGGTGGTTGAAGCCTGTAATCCTAGCACTTTGGGAGGCTGAAGCGAGAGGACTGCCTGAGCTCAGGCGTTCGAGATCAGCCTGGACAACTTGGTGAGACATCGTCTCTACAATAAATCACAAAAATAAGCTGACATAGTAGCACGTGCCTGTAGTTCCAGCTACTTGGAAGGCTGAGGAGGAAGAATCGCCTGAGCCCAGCAGGTCAAGTCCGCGGTGGCCATGAGCATGCCACTGCACTCCAGCCTGGGCAACAGAGTGAGACTCCAACTCAAAAAAAAAAAAAAAAAAAGAATAGGTCCACTAAAACTACCTTCATATCTTAAATCAACTGATTTGAGAGTTTAATCATATCTGTAAAATTTTTCCACAGCGGTACCTACATTAGTCTTTGACTGAATAACCAGGGGCCAGGAATCTTGGTGGCAAGGATCTTAGTATTCTGTCATATAGCTCGACAACAAATGAAAGCACAACTGAAGAATTTTTAAATGAAGGATAGCTAAGATAATTTGCTGCCAACAGACTTCACTATAAGAAATAAGAAATATGAAATGAAAATTTTCAAAAGAAATGACCCCAGAAGAGTCACACATTAAGAGTAAAGCCCATATACCAGATTTAAGGGACACACCTAAGACCAGGGGCAATGGAAATAGCCCTGCTGTAACAAAGTCTAAAACTCCATCACTGAAACATCAAGTTGATTTTCTGGTTAATTGAACTGCCTGCTGAAACAATATTTGGCACTCTTCATGAAATTTAATAGAATCCAGAATTTCAACACTATACTATCCACAGCATTCAATCTATAATTTAAAAAAGACCAGATGTGAAGAAATTTGAAAATGTGACTCTTATCCAAAAGAAAAAAAATATTTCCAATAGAAATAAACTCATGGCTATCTGGAATGTATGAATAAGCAAAAAATAAAAAAAAATTAAAATACCTATAAGAAGTCGGGTGCGGTGGCTCATGCCTATAATCCCTGCACTTTGGGAGATGGATGCAAGAGGATTGCCTGAGCCCAGGGGTTCGAGAACAGCCTGGACAACATGGTGAGACCTCGTCTCTACAATAAATCAAAACAATAAATCGAAAAAATCAGCCGGCCATGGTGGTGCATGCCTGAAGTTCTAGCTACTTGGAAGGCTGAGACAGAAGGATTGCCTGAGCCTAACAGGTTGAGGCTGCAGTAACTGTGAGCATGCCACTGCACTCCAGCTTGAGTGAGACTTTGACTGAAAAAAATAAAATAGCTGTAAGATGTTAAAGAATCTGCAAGCAAAGATGTATATAATGAGTGAAAAAATGGTAATTCAAGAAAGAATCAAATGGAAATTAAAATTTTGTGTGGAGATTAACAGAATATTGAACATATCAGAAAAAAAGTATCAGTAAATTTGAAGGTAGTAAATAAAAATTATCCAAATTTAAGCACAGGAAGAGTATAGGTGAAAAAAATATACGTCTAGAGCCTCAGTGACCTATGAAACAATATTAAGTGATATAATGTGCATATAATTGCATTCCTAAAAGAAGAGGATAAAATGTGACAGGAGAAATACAGTTATGCATCACTTAACAACTGAGATGCGTTCTGAGAAATGAGTTGTTAGGCGATTCTGTCATTGTGTGACCATCATAGAGTGTACCTACACAAACTTAGATGGTATAGTCTGCTACACACCTAGGTTATATGGTATAGCCTATTATTCCTAGGGTATAAACCTGTATAGCATGTAATTGTATTGAATACTACAGGCAATTGTAACATAATGGTAAGTATCTGTGTATCGAAATATACCTGACTATAAAAGATACAGTAAAAATATGATATAAAAGATAAAAAT